AGCATGAATGATTTACCTGAGAAGCATGGGCAGAATGCCAGGAAGAACATCTTCATTCATTTTTAATTTAGACTTATAGGAAACCCAACAAGTGAATAGTTAATAACAAGGTCCTTACATTTTAAATGTATACCAACACAGAGACTGTCATGACAGTAAAAGGTCTCTGAAACATTGTGTCTCTCTGTTTAATCACAACTAAAAAGCAAATCCTCCACAGTCAAATGCATCAAAGTCAGAGTCTCCTTCAAAGTCAAAGCTGTTGAAGTGTGGGGAGTCGACATCCTGGCTGCAGACGTGGAAGGAGTCACCTGCAGAAAGCTCGGAGAAGCCTCCTGCGCCATGAGCGATCTCTGCAGCTCTGCTTGCAAGAGAAGAAGAAGGGGAGCAGGAGTTGAGGTACCCCAGAGCAGAGGAGGCTGCTGCCCCTCCCATCAGTAGGCACACTGCCCTCACTGCCCGGGCATCGCTGCTGTTACCATGGCGAAGACAATCTGACACATGATGAGGGTGGGCTGCAGAAACACTACGCAGAGGCCTTCGTGGTACAATGGCTGAAAAAGTCATTGGAAAAATGATGCCACTGATATGAAATAATAGTGTTGTTTTCCTTAAATACGCCATATCAGGGAATAGTTGGCAAGTTATGAAATGGTCAGTCTAATATGTAACATGTGCTTTGAAGATTTCTACTTTTTTTCCTCTTTATTCTGACTTTGAGCCAGTCTGTCATTCTCCTTCCTCTAAACGCTGTCAAGGCACTATGAGCGACCTGATGGTGTACCTTGGTTTTGGCTTCTGTCTCTGAAGGAACCTCCCCGTTCACTGACTCGAGACAGAGGTGGCGTGCCCTCACTGACCTTGGGTAACCCCGGGTCTTTATCACTAGAAGACTCAGGCTGGGGGTCTCTGTCTGTGATACAGGGAATGATGCTGTGCTGTCTCTGAAGGGTCAGGGGTGACATGACACCCTAGACAATGAGGCAAACACAGGATTATTATGTCACAGAGATAAAATGTGTAACAGTAGCATAGAAATCTCACATATTTTGAAAACACACAAGGAACTAGGATGTTTGTGAATTGCACATTTTAATATTTCTTTTTCTTCTGCATATACACATAAACACACCACTAGAAATGACAGGTGAGGGACTGTTCTGAAGAGTTGAATGAAGCCACAGCAGGGCCGGACTGAAGGTAAAACTGTTGACTCACCTCTCTCACTTTTCTGATCCACTTCAGCCAAAGACTGTGGAAGGTAAATATGACAAGGAAAGCTTTAGGAAAATTGTATTAGGAAAATAAATTGTGGCAATGTCCTGTTGTGGGCCATAATAAAATCAGACAATAGACTAATATGTTAAATAAGGAAGTCAGAGAGCAAAGGTCTAATGACTATTTATATTTCTAAACCGTGGTCAAAAATGTATCCTTCACATCTTCTTCTTCATTAATGAACAATTACATTTTAACACACAAATCACTGTTCTTGTATACACTGAATAAATGATTCTCACAATCAAAAATGGAATGTGGACCTGGTTAACATCTCTGTTCACATGAACAGAGCTTGCCATCCTTGAGGAGAAAATGGATAAAAAATATATTGCATGATGATGCCAGGGTGGCTGAAGCTCAGTAGAAGCTGGTGATGGATGAAGGTGATTTCAAACAAACAAAACACACTTTCTGGAACATTTTGTAACTGTGTAGGTGTGATCCACAGGACCTGTTTGAACATGGCACTTGCTGCCAAATGAGGTTTGATCACTTATTAAATCCAAGGATTAACTTCCCTTTTTCCACCAGCACTGTGAATGTTTAATGGATGTGTTCAATAAAAATTACATTAAAATGTTTGTGTTAACACTGTCTTTGTCTATAGGCTACCTGTGACTTAGATGAAGATTAGGTAACATTTTATAGCTACTTAATGCATAAAACAGTATATTTCACAGGGCTGCCACTGTAAATGTGTAAATATGTCACATCATGCAGTTGACATCTGAAAATTAGTGGAGCAAATGACATTTGTATTCCTGTGTGTGTGTACGCCTTTCTGTGTAGACAAATTTTGAAACCACTGCTGTGAGGCCTTGTAGCTGGGACTGGTTCTTTGCAAATTCTAGTGGTTTGTCTGGGGATCAAGACTTGAATTAGGTTAGAATGAGGTTTAGATTAGGGTTGGGGTAGGAATTAGCATTTAGCATTGACACTTTAGTTGTGATGGTTAAGGTTAGAGTAAAGGACTGGGGAATGCATTATGTGTTGTATGTTATCAAAGTAAGTAAGAGCAACGTGTTCATGAGAGAGTGTGTGAGAGAGAAACCTACTTGCAGTCATCAGGGTTTTCTGTGAGCAGAAGCAGGAACTTGCTCTGGGGCAGGATGAGGGCGAAGCAGCAGTCCCTCCTGCCCCCTGAAGGCAACCTGGGTAGGTCAAGAATTTCCCGTCCTTCTACAATCAACTCACAATTAGTTTGTAGTGTTACCACATGATCTGGAGGGGACTCAGCATTGCGACACACCAGCAGGCTTCCCTCCATGGTCAGCACCACATACTTCTCCTTCCACTGCTTAAACATGAAGCCCCCTGCAGTCAAAAAGCATCAGAGAATGGCTTATAGGTAGGAGCAGGAGGTAATGATAGACTTATTTATATAGTTCTTTCCAAGATACTCACAGCCACTTTACATAAAAGATAAAATGTATCTTGAGTTATTAATTGATTAATTATTAATTTTTAGATAACACAGATTAGATTATCTTTGAAATCACTTGACAGTTATTCAGTTGCCTACATACTGCCAGCATAGTGGAGGGTTGGTGAATGCTTTACCCCTTCACTTGCCATCTGCTGTCATTCATTTTGGTTCAGCATAAAAACAACTCTCATCACTGTACCTTGGATCTTGTAACCCCTTCTGTGCTATTATCTAATTCCAATCTGCAGTTTCCCATTAATTATAACCATGATCAGACAAATAGTAAACACGGGACATTTTCAGTTTGTCATTGATATAATTCTAAAAAATGTCTTATAAACACTAATAATCAAAAATTTGATCAAATATAAGACTGAGAATCTCAGCCAACTGTAATCGTTGGTTTTGATTCTGGTTGTCAATAATGCTGTAAAAGCAATTTCTCAAAAGGCTTTTGCTTTTCTGAATGACTGAACCATCATAACTCTCTACATGGACAAAATAATGACAAATAACTCAGAAGTCAAATACAAGCTGCAACAAACATAGGTGGAGCATTTAAATGTTAGAAAAAACTTGACTTCTGATATATCACATGAGCACAAGCATGAAGCAAATAAAGCAACAGTAGCAGAAAGTGGCACACAAATGAAGGAATAACAAGATTACCATATTTCTTGAGGAAACCCCGATGAATGCCGGCAGTGCTCATCCCTGTGGTCATCACTGCAACAGGGACTGAAATGAGAGGCAGAGCATCTGATGTGGAAAAACAGGATAAGAGAAAGAGAGAGAGGAAATAATCCCCGCTATTTAGGCCTTCCTTCTTTAAATCCATGCTGTTGTGAGTGGATTTGGAGCCATCACAGTATCTAAACCCATAAATATCATATGAGCATCAGAGGCCCAAAATTATAACCAATGGATAAATCCCACTAGAAATATCCAATGATTTTCATCACGGCCATCACCAGATGTCATGTTGGACTTTCAAATACTGCTCCTCTCTCAGGAAAACGCACAGATTTAACCCCGATTTGAGTATTTGCAGCCTTTCACACAACGTAATGATAATAGTCAGCAAATCAGTGTATGCCTGTGCCCTCAGATGGCCTCCGAGCCATAGCTTGGATCTCCTCCCTCTCAAGCAGATTAAAACAGAGGGATTATTATTCATGCACAGCTGGAAGCCTGCTGTTGCAGTGCTGCAGATAGACCCGGCCAAGATTTTAATCTTAACAGACCTGTGGTACATGCCCTACTTCAAGCAACAATCTTCAAAATAATAATTGTTTTTCACTGTCATAAATCCAATCCAGGATTAAGCCCCACTCACTGTATCAGCCCTTGCTATTTTATCACAGTTCGAATAAAATTACGAAGGATCGGAGACACACTACAGTACCACAGTCAAACAGGTCCCACATTTATGGATAAATAGGTTGCAACAGAGATAAAAGTCTAAAAGAATCTAAAAATAAAATCACTATAAAACCATTAAAAACAAATCACGTAGACATTCTAGTTGTCACAGTTTCCTGCAGAAATGCTTTATTTGTTTTTGTCCTCATCCAGGAAGGTAACGCTAACCAAGAATCAGTTCAGTAACACATCAGATGGCTCTGAAACGTGCCAGCAATGGTGGTCACTGATCAGCCATAACATTACGACCACCCACCTTAACAGCAAGCCTTTCCTCAGCATCATTTTTATCCAGATTCATTCTGAAGACATATTTTTGCTTTTTAGAACAGTGATGACTGCCACATGTAAATCCAGCTACAATACCCCTTCCTCAATACATTTCAGACTCAAACAATAATGTGAAAATGTCAGAGTCCACAGAGTCAGACTGTTGGCATTCACACCAAAAATAAACACACCTGACAACTTAATAAAACAAGTAGGCGATAGAATAATGTCTAGTGTCTTTCAGCTGAAATGAGAAAGATATCTATCAAAAGAAGCTATTAAATTAGACTAAGCAAAGTCTGTTATAACCCACAAATGTTAAAGCATGGTTTATCCATCCATCCATTATCTATACCCCTTATTTTGAATAGGGTAATGCGGGAGGAACCCAGAGTACCCACACAGGTACAGAAAGAACATGCAAACTCCACACAGGGTTCGAACCGAGAATCTTCTGCACCGTATGGCTCAATCAAAGCTATATAGAAACCTTTAGCAGTCTGACTAAGACAAACTGAGGAGCCATTGTCCAAACTTACAGTTAGACCCAGTTTCCCACTTTGTGTATTACTGTCCCTCTGCTGTGGTTCACAGAGGAAACACTGTCTGTGGAAGCACAAAGAGGAAATGTCCTGCTAAATTTGGAAGAAAACCACCATATCTGTCTACTCCAGACTGCAAAGACCTCATTAGCTTCGTCTGAATTTAGGAACTCATTTTTCCTACACAACAAGAACTGTTTATTTTGTCTACTATTTACAGTGAATTCACTTTTTTGTTGCACTTATCAACATATGCCCTGTACATGCATTTCGATACAGTAAGTAAGTGTTTTTAATGTAACAAAGCTTAACACCATTTGCACCAACAGGGGGCGGAAGAGTCTCTCTATTCTTTTGCAGTCACATTGTCATTGTGATATTAACAGGGTGGGGGAGGTAATTTGTCTGTGCCTTCATCTAATGTGCAGTAAAAAGAAGAAGAAGAAGAAGAAGAAGAAGAAGTTATCTTATTGCTAACATCCCCCTGGTGGCGCTGTAGCTGGGAGAACAGTGCAGAGGTGTTTCCCATGCCTAGACACACTCCTTCAAAAGTAACAGGCTGACAGGCACTGCAGACTAACAAGGATATATCATTGTAGTCTGCTTTTGTGAGAGAACATAACCGGATCCATATAACTGGTTTTACTGGTACGAGCTGGTTCATAACTGGAAGTATGTGCTTTTTTCTATTAAAAGCCCCTAAATCTTTAAGTCTTGTTGTTTGATGAGTCAGGTTTGGTGTGGCTTAAACCTAAACACTGAGTCTTGGAGTTGATGCCCATCCCCCTCAAAACCCAAACATTTACTTCTTCCGTCCAGCCCCAAAACTTTGTCTTTTTGAGTTGAACTCCCCCTCTTTATTGTACAGGACTCCCTCAGTGACCCTTTCCCTCCCTTCCCCGCCTCTCTCTCACTCTCTGTGTTTCTATCTGGGAGCAGTGAGAGAACCATTGCTCAAGCTCCTATTGAAAAGAGAGCATATACAATGGGGTCTTTCTCAATCCCTCTCGGTCTCCATTAAAGACCCTGGGAACACAACACTGTCCACAGAGCCACTCTTAAAGGGCCAGTGGGATCTAAGTCCTCACAACCTGAGTCTCAGTACCTCCCATCATTTCCATGGGAAAAAAGACAGGATTCTACTCAGCAAATCAATGATTCATGAATGGGCTGTGAACTGTGCAGGGTCTTCTTCCAGACAACAAGTGTCAGCACCTCTTCTGACCAGACACACACAATCACGTCAGATATCACAGCCTGCAACAACAGCCCCACACTGATGGGAATCAGGGATGGCTGAGTTTATTTAGACTACAGCTGATGATGCTACAGTCTGTTTAGGCTGAAACACTGTGTGGAGACACGTTTCTCATTATTCTGATACATAACCCTGTTCTGAATATTTTTATACTGTATTACTGTACAGTTGGTGGTCTCTGTCCTTAATCCCAGCCTCCATCAAAGGGATTTTATCCTCTTGGTTGGTTGTCATTGTAAATAAGACATTGATATATCTCTTTACATAATGGTAGAATCATTTAAAACACTTAGTAGTAAATTAATAAGTTAATACAGTAGCTTAATGCCCACTGATGAAATTTATTAGGAGACAGATGTAGTAGGTTTTTCATTATAATAAGTTGAAACCAGGTTACATAACAATCCACATTAGGCTCCCACATCATAGCAATAATAACAATAATGAAAAAACTGGGAAAATTCATGCAAAAAACCCAAACTTTAATCTATAAGCATGGGCAGAGCCCCCCAACCCCAAATATCTGAATTTCCCAACTGTAGGACTAATAAAGGTTCATCTTATCTGAGTGGCCACCCCTGATGCTTATCAGTTGAAAAATAAAGACAACAAGAAGAAGCTGTGGCCTTAAATACAACTAACATTTTTCTGGTGGTTTATAATTGATATTGGTTAAATTAGTTTTATTTCATATCATTCATGCAGCGTGATATGTGCATTCATTTCTCCAACTGTGTTGTTGTGGAGTACTTGCGATGATTTGGCTCAGTGAATGGGAACTGTGCAGCAGCAATGCCCCTGGCTGGGAGTACAAAAAAGGAGCACAGCCAAAGTTAGCTATAGAAAGCACTATGTGTATAGTACGTTACACGTCGCAAATACTCCTGCGACCACGGGGCGTCTGCCAGAGGTATAAATAAGGAAGCCAACAAATCACCGGAATACGCCTCAGGTGTGCGCACCGACCCACGAGTCACTAATTACCCGATGCGACACAGCTGAGGCGTTGATCCCGCAAAAAGGGAGAGCAGGAGAGGGAAAATAGAAAGAGAGGCAGGTCGGACCGAGCGGACCTGACACCGAGTCTGTGTCCTTAGATCTACCTCTGTTTATAATAGATATCAAGACACCACGAAACAATATACAGACAATAACATGCATAAAAGTAAACAGTTTGATCCATACTAGCGCATATGGAAGTAACACTGATAATAACAGGGGTGAGGTAAGCAAAGCAAAGTAAGGCCCTGCTCTTTAAAAGACAATGATAAAAGGTTTTAACTGAGTGTGTATCATTTATTTGTAAGTAAACATGCTAATTCTTATTCTGCCTAGACAATCACGTTGTTAAAACGCTGCACACAGGCGGTGCACAAACACACACATATCCTACTTTGTTTCCAGCGGAAAACAAGTGATTTATTGGACGATTTACAACCCGGGGGTCCGTGCGTAATTAAAAAGCGAATGGGGGATTGTGTTGAGACAGTCGGCGTGCGGCAGGGTTTCTCACATCCTCTGAGCGGGGTGGGGGGCTCAGGAATGGAGGGAGAGGGTGGAAAGATCTTCACTTGAGGAATTTGAATTCTGTTTGAAGGGGGAGAGAGGGAGAGCCAGGGGAATGTCTGAGAGAGTCTGAGGGAGCCGGTGTGCAGGAGGGAGACTTAGAACGCCAGACTCAGGAAACGCTAGTTTAAGAATATTTCCTGGGTTCCCTGAAATAGACTCTGCTTGGGACAACTTAATCAGTGGCCTAAAGTTTGGAGCGCCTCTTGGCTGTGCGCTTTGGGGAAACTAAAAGTTCGGTGGACAGCTCTCTGTATTGGGATCAACCAAAACAACTGCAGGGTAAACGCGACAGGACTCTTGAGCAGCGCAGAGCTATTTTCCACAGTCTGTCTCCGCAAAGAGGGAACTGAAAGGACGGCATCCGATTTGCTTTGGCCACATATGTGGACAGTCACTTTTTCAGCATCGGTTTAAGTAAAAGCAAAGCTTTTATCCAGAGCACAGACGCGGATCACTGAGCTGCTGAGATGCGCTGATGGAGTCCGGCGATGTTTCTAAGATAACTGCTCGTTTCATGGAGTTAATTTTCAGAGGTGGTCTCGTTTCAAGAAAAACCATGAGCTGTTTCAAGTGGTCACTTCTGATTCTCGCCGTCATTTCATCTGATTGGGGGCCAGTAACCGCCGGAACACTGACAGGTAAGTGGCACCGAGCAAGCTCAGCTTTTTAACCAGTCTGACTATTGTTTGTCACAGCGAGGTAAACATCGGCTGTAACGAGCAAGAAGCTCAGCCAATTTTTTGCTGCTAACCCATTAAATCAGGTTGTTTCGGGCTGGAGAGTGCAACCACAGCTGTAAGTGCTGCATCTGGCCAACGTGTGGTAACTCACTACATTCATAAAAAGCCTTATAATGTTTTCAAAATGTGGTCAAAGAAAAGAAATAAAAGATCCCTTTTACTGGTTTAGTCAGGCTTTGGATTTAAATGATTTAAAACAAAGTGAGCATTGTGTCCTGCTGATGTTGAGACAGTGACAGCAGGTAAACAGCCATGATGAAAATCGGTTTGTTTTGCTTGACTAGCATCAAAAGCTATAGTGAGAAAGACCAGATTCTTTTAGATCAACACTTAATCAAAATGTTTTCTCTTGCTGAGAACCAGGATTCTCACCAGTCATGCCATTATGGGAATACTGGTGAGAGAAGTATTCCAGGCAGGCAAAGGGCATGGGTTTAAGTTAACGCCTGCTGGGAGGTGAGAGAAGACTGAAACTCACAGGCATACAGCAGATTCCTTCAGAAAACGATCTAATTATCAGGTCATATTCCATCTAGTGTGTAAACCTGCCAACATTTCTTCAACTGTCAGTTCTAAAAATCTACTCAAAATTTGGGAATCCATCAGATACTGTGGCAAGTGGATGAAAACACGGCCTCCACCTGTCAGCTCTTGTGTTTTGACAATTATGGTGACGCTGCCTCTCTGGGAGCCAGACTTCTGCCCTCTGTAGGGACAAAGATTACTAGACACCACTGTGATTTATAAGCTCAGACTGATAACTTAAAGGGAGATTTTTTCCTGATGTCTCAGTTCCTATTTGGATGTAGGGATGGCTGGGGCCCGGGAGCAAGGGGATGGGAAAGATGAGGAGGGGTTCATGGGGGTAAATACTTTGGTTTGTGAGTCAGTGCCGGTCTGACTCAGACTCAAGCAGTGAAATGATGGATGTGGTGAGGGGGCAAGAATGGTGGAGAAAGAGTTGGGAGGGGAGGTGGCAAAATGTGTAGCAATGAATCTAAAGAATGGCATGAAAAGGAGGCTAAATGAGAAAAGGGCAAAGGCGCAACAGTGAATGGAGGGGCTGGATTACATAGCGATAAAAAACCAAAAAGATAAAGGAGGGAGTGCAGTGTTGGGTATCTTTGGTATGTGAAAGTCCACTGACATTTCACATCTGAGCTTTTTCTATAAGAAAGAGTAGGAGTAGAGAAGGGATGGGAGAAAAGAGGTCATGAAAAAGTTTGGGAGTTCAAGGGACAAAAGGGAGGAGATGGAGTAGTTACGCAGGAATTAATCAGTGGAGACAAGCCACACGGTTTGACCACCGCCTGTTGTCTTTGTCTATCTCAGCTAGTTACTATAAGAATGCATAACTAAGACATGGTAAGAAAGTAGGGCTGTTTTTGTTCAGTATGTCACTGAAAAAAACAAAAACACAAAGTCAGAGCCACGCAATTTCATGAAAGAGCTCAGACAAGCTTAAAAATTAAGGGAGGAAAGACTTTTAACTCCAAAAAGCACACAGAGACTCAGTGGGTCCTTTCATGTATTGCACACTCACATAACAAGCTTGTTGAAGGCTGGATTGTGTTTGTGTGTATGTGTATTGCAGGCACATTTACAGAACCAAGGACATGTCTTACTTATGAGGAAAATGAGTGCTGTCTTTTTAAATCGCAGGTCTGTTTTCAGCAGCAGAATTATGTGTGTTTATGTGTGTTTGATAGGTTGCAGCAGAGTCCTCTGAGGTCAGTGTGAAGGGTCAGAGGATGAGGTCGGCCATGACACAGACAAGAATAGATGAGCCTGAGAAAATCTTTACATGCATCACTCAGTGAAATACATGTGATTTATTCTTATCCTGAAATTCAAGAACACAAGTCAAATCATTCTCAATTTTTCATCTGTTTATTTGATGAAGTGGCTGTTTGATCATGGGGGCTTAGCATTTTATTTGATGCTGCAGAAGAAAGAAAAGGAAATCAGTATCCAGTGTGTGTCCTTTCCAGCACTGTGCTTTAACAGAGATCAAGACTCCAACCATTTTTATAATCTTTTGAATCCCCTTCCCTCGGCATCATCAGGAATGCCTCTCACCTCAGTTAAATGTCTTAAAAGTAAGAAAAAGCAGAAAAAGTCTATATTCCTCATATTTCTGTCAACCCTGTCTGAGTCATTTTAAACAGACAACCTGCAGGCTCATCGTCACTGTTTGAGAGACCTTGAATATTTTTGGTGTTTGTGTTGAGTTCTCTGTGCTCTGACACTGCCAGAGCCGCCGTTCTCTAACAAGGAGTCTTTGTCCCGCTATCAGCTCTGTCATCCTCAGGTCAGCCGCTCTGTCAGTGAGGACATAAGATAACTGCACTCATTCAAAAGCCAGTTTGGTGCTGGATAAGCTCTGGGTTTACAGGCCTGTCCAGCAGGAACGGACACATCTATCAGAGCTAGTACCTAAAGGAAACTTTTAGTGGTGAAAAGATAATTTGGTGAATTGCTAAATCAGTAAATTTGATAGTCAACAGATCATTTACGCAGTTCATTAGACCAAAATTCAGTTAGTTTCAGCTTCTCAAATGTCGACATTTGCTGCTTTTCTGTTTTGTATTGCTCATTGTAATTTTGGGTTTTGGACTGTTGGGACAAAATAAAAATTTGAAGTTGTCACTATGAGCTGTGAGAGTGTCAGACTACTCTATTAATCTGTTGCTAAAAAAACAAACAATCAAAATGTTATTTAGTAATGAAAATAGTGGCATTAATTAATAATCAATTATAATATCAAAAGTCCAACTTACCAAATAATTATCATACTTTTATTTATGGTGCCTTTAAGTTCAATCATGTTTGTTGCGTTCATGAATAACCCAATATTCTCTAAATGTTTTTTTAAGTTTTGTTCATAGTTATAGAAAACCTATTCCATAAAGCCATTTTTTAAAATAAATTTGTTGTTAGTCACCTGTTGACACAACATGTTTCATGTTTCCAGATCTCACAGCATAGCATCTTTAGACAGAACATCTGTTGGAAGATAAGTCTTGAAAAACTTAACATGTTGTAAATGTGAACCATATGCAAGGTGTGTTTTAGTGAGGGACAGAAAAAATAATCATAACTCCTGCTTCTTCCCTCTCAAAGATTTGGAGTTTGAGCGGAGTCCTTTTGCTGTCGTCTCTTCGCTGGGTAAACCAGTTAAACTGCAGTGCACCCTGAGAGGTACAGGGGCTGAGGAAGAGGACCCCCCTGATGTGATCTGGTTGAGAGACAGTGTGCCACTTCAGTTCGCAGACACTAACCAGTTCCAAGTCCCTACTAGCAGCAACAGTTGGACGATCATGAGCACGCTGCGGTAAGTTGCAGTGTTGTCTGCCACTTGTTTGCTGCTTTTTTTCAAGTCAAGTGCATGAGAGTTACTGAAAAGGTTAATCTGCGGTGAGGCAGCCACACCTGAAGAAAAAAATCTGACAGTTTATTTCCTGTCACTCCACCTCGTCCTTTCACCTAGCTTAACCAGTACCGTTGCTGGATTGCACCACCATGTTGACTTTCAAACTTGAAAGAAATGATATAACTCATTCAAATTCCCATGTGCCCCTGCTGTTGTAGCTTAGAGTATGGTATGATTGCATGGCAGAGTTTGGAAGGAAAGTATCAGTGTCTGTGCATCTTTTAGCCTCTATCTTCCTGTGTTCTCAGTTTGGTTTATCATTGTTTTATCTTTATGAAATCATTGTATACAAATAACAGCATTGAGAAGGTCCAGCTTCCCGACATGGGCTCCTATCAATGTGCTGTTCTATCAGGAGGCCACCGGATTTTGTCTGAGGAGGGGAGCATTCAACTAGAGGGTGAGTTTATCTCCAGCTCACTGACAGCTACGAAAACAACCAGTCCGAGTGCTGCAGTTTTATCTGGGTTGCTAAAAAGATCTAGTGTCTGATTCAGCTAATTCTCTCCCAGGCCTTCCTCATTTCTCTGTGGAGCCTCAGCACATGTCTGTAGTGGCCAATGTATCCCTGAGCCTGAGCTGTGTGGCCCACGGACCTCCAGAGCCAGTCAAAGTCATCTGGCTGCAGGACGGCGCCCCTCTCAACTCCCTGACCGACCTGGTAGCCTTGTCACCCTCCACACTCAACCTCACAGGTACCAGCTTTCCTCCACAATGCCACATGTGGACAGCTTAGACTCATTATACTCACTTTGCATTGATACAGCCCAGTATTTAGTGACCACAAAATAAATCTGGGACTGCAATTAATAATTGTTTAGTTTATAATGTGAAAAATATTCAAAAATGCATGATTCCAGAGCTCAAGGTGAAATCTTCAAATTGTTTTACAGTCATAAAACACATCAAAACAGAAAATCCTAACATCCATTTCAATTTCAAAATCACAGGCTTTCATTTAGTCCATTTAGGCTGATTACAATGTACTGCTGTTAAAGCTACACAGCAGCTATCTTCTATGGTGTCAAAGACTTCCACACCCCCCTCAGTGACTTAAACAAAACCTCCAAATAACCAGCCTCTAGAGAGCAGCCTGGCTGGCACAGTGCCACTGGATCTATTGTGGACTCGTCTTGTGGTTGTGTGGTTGACGGGTAAAGGCAGAGCCGCTGGGACAATTGGGAGAAGGAAAATAGATGGGCAGGGGACATAGAGAGATAAAAGAAAGAAACAGAAAAAGGAGAAGGGCTCTGTTGCTGCCTGAATGCAAACCAAAGCTTTGTGCCAGATCACTGCTCTGTGTTCAGTCTAGGAGTAGGAGGACAGATAGAGCAGACTGAGTCAGACAGGAGGGAGGAGCAGGCAGTAGTGGTCAGCTGAAGGATCTGGTTTGACTCAGAGCAGGCTGCCTGGTGCAGACCAGAACCCATTTGATGGTAACCTACACTCACATCTGTGGAATGGACAGCTAAAGAGAACACAATCCAACAAATAATTAAGAACAACACAGGTCCCTGTAACTTCATGTATAAGGTGGTTTCCATCCTCATCTGATGGGAATTGTAGGGACCAAAGCCCTCTTATTTCTAGCTCACCAGCTTTAGGGCAGAAAGTTCACACAAACGTAAAAAAAAAAAAAAGAGCTTATACAAGACTGCTGTCCTACTAAAATCATTTCATGTGTAAGTGTTGAAATGTGTAAGCTAATCATCCACCACTCACAGACCTTTCTCTGTTTTATATTGATATACTATATTGACCAATGGAATATATTAGCATTTGGTAAAACTAACAATTTAAAAACTTAACCTCTTAGAATTTGTGATGGGCATTTTTCACTATTTTACAAAATGTCACAGTCCGAATACTTTCTGATACACTGTAGATGTCAGCAAAGAAAAGAAAGCACAAGAAGTGCACGCCTGTCCTGCTGACATTGACACTGTTGGTCAACACTCTGATGCTCACAAGCTCCAAAGTTCTTCCTGTTGACCGACTATGACATACAATTTGTTGATGAGGAAGGAAAGAGACAGAAAGGCAAGTGGCACAAACTGGAGGTGACCTGATGAGCTCTCCACTCACCCACAAAGCCAGTGGTTCTCCCTCACCCCTCCCACCCTCCATTTCCTCTCTCACAACCCCTTGCTTCAGCCAAAGAGGATCGTACACCCTGTTCTTTTTCTGGCCAAAACACAATGGAGGCATGGTGCCGTCAGCGCAGAGCGACACACTGCATGATTCTGTGTTTGTGGCTGATTAACAGTGTTGGGATGTTAGATAACAGTAGTAAAACTTGAATGTCATGTTTCAGTGTGTGTGCCTGTGTTGTATTGTGGAATGACTGGAGTGTGTGAGCACGCTGTGAGTCCCTTTGTGAGAGGATTCTTTCTCTGCAGAAGGTCAGTGTGTGTCAGTGTTTTGCCCCCTTCAGGAGAGCCCCAGCCTCTTGATGGCAGCAGCTCAGCCTTTTACACCTGCACTTCAACATGACTGTTCCCCTTGTTCTCAAAACTCCACCTCAGAAATGTTCACTTTAAACCATTTTTAATTATCAGGGATTTAAGAATGAGCTTATATTGGTTATAGGAGGTGCTGATCAACATCCTAGTTGGGACTCGGTGTAAAACTGGTCTGAAGATGCCAGCCAACAGAGACCTAGGTTAAAACTTGGCTAAACTTGGCCAAAAAGCAAAGGTATTTAGATATCAGTTTGCATATAATGTATTTTAGTCACAAAGTAACAACCAGATTTAGCCGTTTAAACACAGATTTCATGTTTACAGTACATGCATGTGTTGGTTATTTTCAGCAAGATTTTTCTTTTACACCGTTATCGAGATTTTTAAAACGCATTGTAACAGTGAGGACGATGTGTGGGTCACAACTTTGTTAGTATGTGAGACATATTAGACTGAGAGGGACATTATAAAGAAAGGTGATAAGTCAGAAACACTGTACAGTAGCACTTTTAACACGATGAGATGGTGTTTGATGGATAAGTTGATTCAACTTTACAGAATAATAAAATGCTACCTTTGAAAGGAAATGACTGACACTTGACTTTGATTGGTGCAAAATAAGGTTGAATTATTCCTGCCAGACACCTTTTATTTACTTAGTGAAAAACTAAAGTGCACTACACAGACCTACAGTGCACTAATGTGATTTTTATTATGCATGACTCTCAAACATACTGTCACATCAACAAGCACAGACTAACCCTAAAACTAATCATAATATTGTTGACAAAGAGATCACATTACCTTACACTCACATTATTTTCACTTCAGTTTGAACCCTCACACCATTTCTCACATCAACATTATATGCAAGTCAGCATGCTGAGCAAGGATTCCTGGTTTCAGAAGTCCTCCGATGTTCCTGCTTCACACGTGCATGTTGTTTTGTTTTTCTGTCCAGGTTTAAACAGAACTAGCACTTTCTCTTGTGAAGCCCATAACCGCAAAGGTGTGGCCACATCTGGATCTGGCACCATCACTGGTAGGTGTCCAAATACATCTATTGGGCAGCTTTACTTGGTGCGGATATAGTTTTCCCTTTTGCTTCAAGTTGTTAATTGTAAAATTCTTTATTTTAACATGTTAATTTAGTCTCTCTCTTTTTTTTTTTTTTTTTTTTTTGTTTCTTTCCATCTTTTTTTAGTTCTTCCATCCCAGCCCCAGAATCTGAGGGCTGTGGAAACCACTCAGACCAGCCTCCTTTTATCATGGCAGCCTGGTTTTGGAGGCGACTACCCAATAATCCGTTGCTCAGTCCAGGTGAGACAACATGAAATAAACTTGAAAGAAGACAAATCACTGCAGCTGTTTGACCTGTACATTAAACAAGCACATCCCTCACTCTCTATTTGTGGGACTGAGTCCTTTTACCTTTTCCAAGCCTAAATTTAGTGAGAAGAGAATTTGCTTTTCTTTTCTTCTCTTAACTCATCTTCTACCCCTCCCTGCTTTCTTCCTGTGCCAGTGGATCAGATTTCATTCTGGGAAAGTGGCCTTCTGGACCAGTCTTTTGTAGCACCACTCCCTCTCTGACTGTCAGTGTCTCTCTGCCACTACCCTGCTCTGTAGCCACTACAGCTAGGAACTGAGAGCCTCCCAGAGAAGGCTGCTGTGTAGCACCACCCCTAAACGTCTGGTTCTAATAAAGCTGCCCCTCATGCCTCTTGCTGTCCTTACCCCTCTCTTCCTTCTCCCCCTCACAAGGGAACAAGGCGAGGGGCCAGCTTCAACAGAATGGGGCAAAAATCTGAATTTAACGGTTCATTGTGTGATAAAGAGAAACGTGAAAAGGCTACAGTGTAGAGAACAGAAAGATGTTAGTGTGCTCCACAAATGGAAGTAGAAAGAAAGACAGAGGGAGGGGGTGGGGCTGAAAGAAAGAAATACAGAGAACATCAGATAAAAAACAGGAAAAGGCACTGACATCAGGTATTGTGGGTGTGAGCCATACAAAGGGAATGCAGGCTGAAGTGTGACTCAGGGCTGAGCTGTATGATTTGATTAAGCACACTTACACACTTGTTTACAGGCTGGATGGTGACTCATCAAGTCAAGAATGACTCTCTTATACACTGACACACATCCATGCACATCATTCATTCAACTTAATATACAGTGGGTACGGAAAGTATTCAGACCCCCTTAAACTTTTCACTCTTTGTTATATTGCAGCCATATGCTAAAATCATTTAAGTTCATTTTTTCCTCATTAATGTACACACAGCACCACATATTGACAGAAAAACACAGAATTTTTGACATTTTTAAAAATGAACTTAAATGATTTTAGCATATGGCTGCAATATAACAAAGAGTGAAAAGTTTAAGGGGGTCTGAATACTTTCCGTACCCACTGTACGTTGGACTCACACCACCTACTGTAATTCACACCATGGGGCAAAATCACCCAGCTGCTTCTGTGATCTCTGAATTCTGGAGTTTTTAAAATAACTGTCAAAGCAGTGCATAGCCTCACCTGCTCATATACACACACACACACCCCTATTCTATGTAGCTGCTCATTTGGTTTTAGTCCTCAGCTATGACTGTAAAGCTCCCCCTCTGAAGTGTAGTGTGTGGCCTGCAGGAGCTGCTTCATAGTGTGCAGTGCAGCACAAAACAGTCTGCATTGGTGGCTTTAATGTGGTTTAAAAATTGCTGCAGTAAAGGATTCTTGCTACCTTTTGTTCCTCTTTAACATGTGTTTACCACAGAGGGTTTGCAGAGACAGCAGGTTTCTGTCTGAGATTTTAGTTAATGAGTTTTGCTTATAGTGCATCTTTTTGAGCCAGAGTCCTGTTCAGAACAACACTGAAACACATTTTACAAAACTTTAGGCAATTAACGCATTACCACCATCCTCTGACCCTATTTGGCACAGCCTCCTGTCTCTTCTTCCTCTGTACTTCATGTCCAATACTGTCAGTTACTGCATGTATTTTGTCTGAACACATGTGTTATGTATTATTGAACTCTTTTTTTATAAATGTTTATGATTTTTATACAATAAAAGTTCTAACGTGTCATTTTACATGTAACACATAACTCCTGCAGAGCAACTCTAACTAGAGGCTATAACATAATTAAGTTTGTTATCTGAATGTTCCAGGCCAAACTTTCAGGAGAGTCCGTCACAGCAGGCCCAGATAAACTGGTCCACAACCAGAACGTGAACATTCCACCAGCCACCCACCTCATCAGGGACCTGGAGCCCTATAGCTTCTATGCTGTCAGGGTAGCCTGTCACAGCAGCCAGGGTCCATCCAACTGGTCCCCCTGGATAGAACTACGCACCAAAGAAGGAGGTGAGCGCCTTCCAGCTGAGGATTAGTTTGTTTACACACTGGATGTCTTGTGTGTGTGTGTGTGTGTGTGTGTGTGTGTCGGATCACTTCAGGCAAGGTCCAGACTGTGCTATCAGGCTACTGATTGAGGTCCAAGTCTGCTATACAACAGCTAGCAGGCACAGTCAAGCTGCTTTTTTGGGTGTTTTGGTCTGTGCCAAGGATAATTTGATGAAACTGTGAAGTAATATGTTTGCATTGCACCTTTGCGTGCCCGGTTTGTACCGTCAGAATTTAGCTGTTTTTTTTTTTTTAAAGCTAAAAATACCAGGCCTTACAGAGTAGGATTTACCAAAGGGCAAGGCCAAGTCAAGTCATAATCTTCATAGACAAGCTGCCTAGTGTCGTTGACATGGCTAAGACAAGTTTAGTGTGTATGTCTAATAGTGAAACAACTAAAATAATGAGTTTGTAAGCCCTGTCTGTTGCCCTTTTATTGTTCCAGGATTTTACCAGTGGGAAGTCTACGGAGCCAATATTAACTCTGTTATATTTTCTTTTCTGAACTTATTTTGAGCTGAATTTAATTCAATGCAGATGCTTTTCAGTTTTATTCTATGAGTGAGGACTTATGGGGTGATAACAAAGGGTTGGAGAATCAAGTTACAGTGCACTGTTAGTCATGATATGTGCCCCTTTAACTTGGCCTGTGTTTATAGCTGACACAAGTTACGGTACTTCTATGAACCTAGTTTCAAAATGTTGAGGGAGAAAGCGGACTGGTAGTGAAGGGACAGACTAGGTGGAGATGGAGACAGGGAAAGGGCGGGAGGGAGGGTGGATGTAAGAGTCTCCTGAAAGGCTTCAGTTAGGATCGTAGTGCTCCGACCAAACTGTAATGCTAGGCTGCTGTGTGTCTTCATTTAAACTGAGGTGGGATTTTCCATGCCAGCTCATGCTGCCTCTATGAAGAGGATTGGAAATAGCATCCACTAAGAGGGGAGATATGCTATGGGAGGGGTGACGGGGGCTTTCCACAATGGAAGCTGCATGTGATTTGAAAGCACAGAATTTCTTATGAACAGAAAAAGGCAGAAGTAGCACTCTTTGAAATAACATTATAATGGAGAAGGACAACAAATGGTTCCGAGATACTGTGGTTATAGTCAGTAAGTATGAGTTTCTGTTCTTCATTTAAGTTTTAGCTTGTTTCATTTCAGTGGAAACATCCTTTGTTTTCCCAAATAATATTTTACATCATCTCCCTTTGGCCAGTATGTTTGCATTCTCACTCCAGCAACTCCCTCTGCACTTGTTGCAGTGACTCAGAGGATGAAACAACAGAAGATAAGCTGCAGCTGGTGGTCAGATACAGTTCAGGAGGCATCAAAGGGTCAAAGAGAATGAGAGAATGAAGGGAAGAAGCAGACTGCTCCCAGCAAAGCCATGTTGGCTTTCTATGTGGTTTCAGTGCTGAAGACTGACAAAACCCCCATGAGGTTCCTTTGTTGAGCCCCATCTCTTTTCTGAGCCGCTTTCTGCTCCACTTGTTTTTCATTAATAAACTGTTCATCCTGGCACAGACATGCTGATGTATTGCTCCTCTACCTCCTCCTTAAATCTCAAGGTTCTCAATTCATTCTCCTGCCAGCTCTTTGTTGTTCTCACATTCATCCATCTCCCTCAAGTAGACCAGGCCCTTGTTTTGTTGCACTCGTATTTTCCGACCTCAAATCCTACAAGTATTGCTGTAAAATGTATTTCTTTCATCTCCAAACAACCTGAACAAATTTTTTTCTGAATCCAGCCTTTCAACTTCACCCCATCATCTTTAATTTCCACACATTTTTGGACCCCAGATGACCTGCAGTTTCTCTTTCCAAGAGCAAACAGCAAGGCACTGTGGAAAAAAACTAAAAAGAAGGTTGGTGGTGGGAGCAGCCAAAGACTGGGTGGAAGAGCAGGGAACAGGAGAAAGGGGTGCTTTAAGAAAACACTCATTTTGCAATTTTCCCAAAGCCCCTTACTTTCCCCAGAGAATGAGAGAACTGAAATAGGAGGGGGAGGGCTGGCTGGTGGGAGAGGAAGCGAAATGACCAGCCTCACCCTCCAAATCCTAAAGCTGCAGTGAAATTATGTTTTACATTCTTTAAACACATTTTTCTTTTGCATCCAAATCACAAAACAAAGTGAATGAACTTAGGAATAATTGCAAGAAAAGTATGATTGTGCACTTACACCACTTCTATAGTTTGTTGCTCTGAAAAGGCAACTAAGGAACACATGTGCTACAGCACATCTGTCTATAGTGCTACAGTGGTGCCAGGATTAATCCAGAGTTACAGGACACCATGACTCACTATCCTGACGTGTCACATTTAAATTCACCTAATACTGCTGCCAGCAACATGCAGCTATAATCCTTAAACAGTATCATTTGTTAAAGACAGACAACAGTTTGTTCCACCATAAAGATGAAATGGTGTCCTTAAGAGTTGTGACAGCTTTCATGACAGTAACGTTCATGCTCTGATTGATCTGGGAAACATGGTCCCTGTGTACTGCTGAGTGTGTTTTCATTTATGTAGAACAGACTCTAGATCTAGGGTTATTCTGAGTCAGTTATTGGCTAAAGAATAACCCTTTTCCATTCACGTGTGGACCCACGTGGAGGCTACCAAGGCTGTGAGGATGAGACAAAGTGTGCTGAAAGAGCAACAGTGTAACAGCCCTGCCTCCAAACAATGTTGGAACGCTCCAGAGCCTGGCTTTTTAACACGGCTTCCCCAAAAGCAGCATGCAGCAGGATGTTAAACACTAGTCTGCCACTGATGAGGCTGTTAATCTCTACTGTTGTGAACTAATTGTGGCTCACAGGTGTTTGCTTCTCAGATCCTTGCAAAGCTGCAGCTGCTTTTATGTAAAAGGCAAAAACAACATGACTCATTTATTTCTTTTTTAATATTTGACATTTAAGGCATTTCTGCCTTTATTTGTTATTAACAAAGTGGATCACAGAGAGGCAGACAGGAAACAGGGGAGAACCTCTAACAAAGGTTGGCGGCTGGACTCAAACCGCTGATGTCACACACACACTGTGCTTGCAGATGTGATGCATTGGACTGTAGCCGTTTAGCTAGTGGGGCTCCCAGGCACATTTGTTCCTCAGTAATTTCTGCATTTGAGAAAACAGCACCAGCACACATCTCATTTTCTGGCTTTTCTTTTGAAACTTCCCAAATCTTGCAGCTTCAGTTATTCCCCAGTGAAACTTTTTCTTCCACAGTGTTTTACATCAATGATAAATACTTCTCTGCTCAGTTTAATTCATACACCACTGACAAAAAAAAAGAGAAAGGCATTACACCAGAAAGGGGAGGGAATGAGAACTTGGAAAGAATGAGATGGAATATCTTGGACATGTTTTGGGAGACAGAAAGAGGTGAAGAGCAGAGGGGAAATAGAAAAAGAGAGTGAGTAGGCAACAAAGAGTGGAAAAGGAGGCAGCGAGAGGCCGACAGATGATGGAGCATAAGTGAAGACAAACTGCTGGAATGAACTTGACTTGGAGGTTGTTTTTGTTGCCGCTGGCAGGCAGAACAGGGCCCACATGTGGAAACAATCACCCACGAAACACTTCCTGATAACATCATCCAATAGGCTGGGCCATGTTTCCCGAACTCACACTCACTTGTGATGTATGTGTGGGTGTGCGTGGGTGTCCAGCTAGTTTGTGTGACTTTGTGAGAACTAAAGACAAAAAGAGCTGCAACTGAAACACCAAATAAGAAAATAACTACTGCCGTTTCCTTGCGAAAGGGGCTGTGCTGTCCAGAGTCTTAGTCACATACACGCACACAAATTCCTCACACTATTTCTAGTATGCTATTCAGCTAGCTTTTCTCTCCACTGGGTATATCTGCTGCCAGCAGCCTTTTTTACTCTCTGCTTCAGAGATCCAGAAAAGAAAATGGCAGACAAGAAAGAACAAAGCAGAATTGGGGATGGACAGAAAAGGAGGGAGACATATTTCTCATTGTGTGTCCATATGGGTTTGTCAGCCATGTTGTCCCAGTGAGTACACACTGGCTCTGAGCTCAGCTGGCTGCGGTGCTCTTAGCTAGCCTTGTTTGTCCTAATAAAGCTGAGTCCCCCACATTCTTTGACATCTCCTTCCAGCTGTTGTAGTTGTCCACACCCTAGAGGCTTCTGTCAAAACAACACTTGCCTGACTAACCCCTAGTCCAGTGGATCCTGGCCACAGAGCCCACAGGCACTGCCGACCCAAAATCTTCTGCCACATGCCCCCACTGCACCCTGACCTACATGCTTCCTTAACCTTATAACAGTTCTACAAGTAAACATGTAGCTGTCTGAAATACACGTGTTCTATTGTTTTTATGTTTCAGTGCCAGAAAACCCACCCACTAATGTGACTGCCGTGCTAAATGGGACAGAGGTGCTGATGACGTGGGAGGGGCCTCTAGGGAAGCTGAATGGAGATCTACAGGGCTACATGGTGGAGTACAGCACACCTTCCACTCAGCAGGTCAGTCAGTCATGCATACACTCACAACACAACACAAACTCGTAATGGTTTCTGACCTTGTTCATCACATTGGCCGACACTGACAGATATAAAGAACACATCCAACGCTCTCGCTTCTGACAGTGTCCCTCTTTCATTTTGTCAACAGCTGGTTGTGGATACTGGATTGAACACTGAGGTGTTAATGAATCTGTCGGCCCCTCTGTCCAATTTGTCTTTTCGAGTGTGTGCCTATACAGGGGCAGGGCAGGGACCTTGGACCCCCACACAAACTCTGACACTTACTACACCTGGTGAGTAACACAAGTGTAAAAATACTACTATAGACTGCTAAAATCATAAATAACATTCTGTTATAACCATTAAAGAGATCAAATCCAATTTGAAACAAGAATGGCTACTGAAATCGATTCTTTAAGATTCCAGTTTTTCAGGAAGCTGTTGTTATTTTATAAGCAGTAGTTTTTATAATGAGAATTTCATAGGAATCCTAAGGTGTCAGATGCTATTTCATTTCAATTCTGCAGCACTAAATCTGTTATTTTACATTTGACAAAACAAAGAATTGTGTTTTCTCATTAAAGTCAGCATATTGATATAAGCTCTGTTTTTTTTTTAACTCCCACAGAGATGGAGGAATTTAGAGGTGAGTGATGAGGCTTTGCACATACAAACCTACACACTCTTCTGTGACCTTTCTGAGTGGTGCGTAGGACTGTTCTTTCTTGTTCTCTGAAACTAGGTTCACAAGATAGTTCCATCCTGTGTACTTCAGAAAAAAGGAAGGAAGACAAAAACAAGAAGAGAAGATCTCAGACAGACAGAAAAGGGGAAGAGGGGTGTGGGGGTGAATGTAGAGATGCATCATATATATTTATGATACGAACAGTGTAGCATCTCTGTTTGATTAGTTTAATAGCAGCAGGCAGACAATCCAAACAACAAGAATAACAAATAAGGCAGGGAAAGTTGAGGGAGGATGAGTGTGAATGGGAGGGTGTGAGTGTTTGGGAGTAGTCAACTGGGAGTAAATGTAATGTGACAGAAAGCTCTCTGTTTTGAGCATTAGAAATAAAATAGCATATTTTTAGTAGAGAATAATACTTAGATCCACTTCAGCAAATATGGAGGGCAGGACTGAGGTCACTGTTTGACCAGTGGACATATTTGTACTCCATAATAACACTGTGTATGAATCCATCAATAAATAATACAGCTTTACATTTTGTGTTTACCTGTAATTGATAGAATCAATTGAAATTGTAATCACAGCTTTTGTCACCTTCAGGGCTCCATAATCATAACTTGTCCTCTGTCTCTCCTAACCTCTCCTCTGTCTTTGTCCACACCCCTTCCCTCAGGTCCGTCGTCACCCCCAGCCTTTTCCTGGCACTGGTGGTATGTGGTGATGGCCATTGCTGGTGCCGTGTCAATAGCTGTGCTCATTGCTGTGTATGTGGCCAAACTGCGGCGCAAGGAGACGCGCTTTGGGTGTGTAGGCTGTTAGTGCTCCTCATGGGTAAAAGGGAGGAGCTCAGTAGCTGTGCCAAAACAAAAATTAAATTTTTTTCACTTCCTTGACCTAGTTGACTCACTTGTGTGAAGCATTTTGATGAAGTAGAAAACATCTGTTTTGAAAGAGCTCCAGTCATTCTCATAAATTATGGAGCAACGCTATGTTTTCAGCTGTGTTTAGACATCTGCTGGACTGACCTCTCATTGTGTTTCTCTGTTTTGTATGGCGTGTATACACATGCAGAGAGGCATTTGAACCTATGATGGAGAGCGGAGAGCTGGTGGTCCGGTACCGTGCTCGCCGCACATACAGCCGCAGGACTACAGAAGCAACATGTGAGTTCCTGTCTCTGCCTCGGCATGTTCCTCGGAAAGATGACACTCTGTATTTACACCTGACTGTCCCTACAGCACTAAGAGACACTAGAAGAGGCATGGCCAGACCTGCCTGTGTCCCCAGGAGAGAGAATGATACCAAAAAGTAGCATAATAGCATCTCCTCTCATGGCCTGGGGCTGGATCCACCAGCTCAGTGGGAAAAAATCTTTGCCTGCCAGGACACACAATGAAAGCTACAGTATTCTCCATATTTTAAGGCAGGAATCACTTCTTTGGTTTGTTTGATTAATTAAAGGCAGGGACATGAACAACTAAAGGTTAATTAATTTTCCACAGGTGTGGAAACAGCCCTGGAGTATTCAGCCAGCTAACATACTCTACAACATCACTTTTTTTATAATAACTTCAGTTAGCTGTGCAGTAAATCCTGTGCACTCAAGTGGGAACAGCAGAATGAACCTAAACTTGATGCAGGTATTTTACTGACTGAGCAAAGGAATGAGGGACAAGGAAGGTGAACCTTCAAGTTCACAGAATATTGGAGATGTGCAAGGTGCAGGAAAATGGATTCAGAGAGCAAGTGACTTGTTCTTGCTTAAACAGATTTCAAACTTAAGTAACAACAACAAAACAACAGCTAAAGAGTTACTTGACTGATCTGACTTGAATGAGGGGGTCACTTATCCTTTGGGGAGTAAAGTGCAAGTTTGAAGTCTCATCAAGATGAAGTGACAACCTTGTACTGGTGCAATACAAGCCAGTGGTTTACGTGCTATTACCAGCCTACACCCCTGTGAGTCCTCATGATTAGTGTGCACTCAACATTTGTATAAATCTCAAGGACAAGTCTCAGCTTGCTGGGGAAAAGACAAAACTACAGAGAAAAAAGCAAAAAAAGTTATTCTGTGAGTAAAATGAGAGGAGCCCAGAGAAGGAGATGTGGAGATAATGTGCACTCTGAGTGAATGGAGGCAAGCACTGTGGGAATAAAGGAAGAAGAGGTCAGACTGGAGGGATTTGGGTGGGATTTAACACTGCTGATGTTGACCAGTAGTTTTGGCCAATACTCAGGATAAAGCTGAACTCTGGGGCTCCAGTTATTGCACGCATTGGCTAATAGCTGGTCATGCTAGCATGTGTGTGAACATGCCTGAGGACTGAGCACATTGTTGTCCGACACGTGGCAGATTGATAGTTTAGCTGCAGCTGGAGGAAGATCTCTGAACATGTCATTGCCTTGTCAGACATCGGCCCAGATGTGAAAACAGCTAACGTCTGTAGTACAGTCTGCTGGCCACCACACAGCTCAGTTTCAGTGCAGCCAGCTGGCTAACTCAGGACCTTAACTCTAATAACAGATAAGAGACATATGAGAACAAAGACTCCATGGGCACACTCTGAGCTTTAAAAGTTGACAGGGTTGTTTTAGTTGTTGTGCATTGTGGTTATACAGAAGCAAAGGAGGCTGCTTGGTACAATCTTTCTCTTTTTTCTTCTTAACTGTTCATTAAAGTGCTTTGGGCTACAAACACCATTAAAGTTTGTTAATGTTTTCATCCTCAGTGAACAGCCTTGGAATCAGTGACGAACTGAAGCAGAAGCTCCAGGATGTGATGGTGGACAGACATAAACTAACCCTGGGAAAGACACTGGGAGAAGGTACTGCTTTGTTTGGTGTGTTTTTAAACTACTATATGTGCATGTCTTATTTCAAGGACAGTACAGGGAGTGCCTGACAAACAAGGTGAAAAATGGTTTTGTAATACTTATATCAGGGCTGAAGTGCACAGTCAGGCCTTATCTGCCTTGACATCACTGCTAGCTGCTCACTTATCTCCAGTTATTTCCTTGTGATACCAATATGTTTTGAACCTAGGTATAGCGCAACAGTTTGCAGTGTCATACCCCGTAGTCATGAAAGGAACCACTCTTGACTACTGAATTAAACATTTAATGTTGTTGCATTTAGAATTGCATATGAACTGAGTGTTTGATTGTGTTTTTATTTCTTTCCTTAGGGGAGTTTGGCTCTGTGATGGAAGGGCTGCTGACTCAGGAGGAGTCTGTTCTCAAAGTTGCTGTCAAGACTATGAAAAGTGAGTAGACACTAAAAGTACTCAGCAGTCACCACAATGACTTCCTTTATCTTGGGAACACAGGCACATTTGATAGACAGCCCCCGGGTCAAAAATCAACAAGTGTTTGGGGCAAGAAGCTCAGTGTTTGATCAGAAACCAGACAAAGATGCAGCTTGTAGAAAATATTGGCAGAAGAAAAGGTTGAGCCCACATCAACTGTAGTGCCAAAGTAAAGACAAGTATATAAAACCCCAGAGTTGAGGGGAAAAGGTGGATTTTGGAGTCAATAAAAAGGAGCACCCCCTCAGGGCGCCAGTTTAAGGCTGTGGAGAAGAAGTTAAAACAAAATTAGTGGTACAAAATGCTAACACATATTAATTTACAGTTTAATAAATGCAGGAACCAAAACACCCTCTAAAATAAAAGTTTATATCTCACCTTGGCAACGTCTAAACCTGGCCATGTGAGTTCATGAACACATGATTTCACCTCTGTGTCTTCTCTCCAGTCGCTATCTGTACCCGCTCAGAGATGGAAGATTTTCTCCGTGAGGCTGCCTGTATGAAAGAGTTCGACCACCCCAATGTCATGAGGCTTCTAGGTGAGTTGGCATTTATACTGCGTCAAACGTCAAGATCATCTCATTCAGACTCAACTGTGGAAATACATTTATGACTAAAAATGACATTTAAAAAACAGCAGTGTGTCTTTATGAAAACTTTTTAGTTTAGTTGTACTGCATTTTCTGTAGATTTGCAAATAATAGGAAAAGTCAATGAAAAGTTGAGATTTTCGAGGAGATGGATGAAGTAATATGTCAAAACCTGGACAAATTAGACCACAATTGTTTCCAAGGCTAAATACCACTAAAGTTATGTTTATATACTGTATATTTTGCAAAGAAGGAGGACGAGCCCTTTAAAATGCTGTCACTTTTTTTTTTTTTTTTTTTTTTTTTTTTTACAAATTCAAGACTTTTTTAAGGCTGTTTAAAGGGTGCCTTTAGATTTTAAATATAGCTGTGTTAATTTCTAAATGGAACAAGTATGTATGTGGCCTATGTTTATAATACTAAGAGAAAGTGTTTTTCCAGGTGTGTGTCTGCAGACGGTGGAGAGTGAGGGCTACCCCTCCCCTGTGGTCATCCTGCCCTATATGAAACATGGAGACCTGCACAGCTATCTGCTGTACTCAAGACTGGGAGACTGTCCTGTGGTTAGTCTGATTACAAACAATGAATGCACCAAGTCAGGCACACACATGCACTGAGCAACTTTTTATAAGTTCACTTAAATGTCTGTCAGCAAAATGGGATCCAAAATGGGTTCAAGATAGGCATAAAGTATTTGTTACATCAAGTCCTCCCATACCTTTTTTGGCAGCACAGACACTGTGAGATCATAAAAACACAAGATGTGTTTCTTGTTGCTATCTGAAGTTGTACTCATTAGTGTATGATGTATTTTTTTGGAACACACAACTGCTATACGCAATAAGTCCCTGAAGAGCCAGGTTGAGAAACTCAAGCCTAATCAAAACAAGATTTCCACAGGGTGTTGAAACATTCACGAATCTGGTCGACATTCAAAATACACAGTGGTGTTAGACCGTATTTTTCCCACTGGGGGAGGCTGTTTGTATCTGGAGCGGGGAGCATTTAGCTCAGACTGATCAGAGGTCATTAAAGAGATGGGATCTAGTGCCCTCTACTGTGCAAGAAATAAATGTCACCTTTCTCTTTCTGTGATGTCCTGCAGTACCTCCCGTCTCAGATGCTGGTGAAATTTATGACTGATATCGCCCGGGGGATGGAGTACCTCAGTAGCAAGAACTTCATCCATAGGGATCTTGCTGCCCGCAACTGCATGTAAACAATCTCTGCTTCTCTTTTTTACCCTCTCAGTACCTGTATGTGTTCTCACTTTCCCTTACCCTTTCCTTTTTTTTTATCTTGCATGTAGCATTGAAGAAGTAAAAGTAGACAAAAAGGCTGTGCTAAAAGCAAGATTTGGGAGAAGGGAAGCCCAAAAGAATAAAACACTAGTATGATGCAGGAGAAACTGTCACAGAAATGCAGTGGAGCTGATATAAAATATCATAAAAATCAAAGTTAAATAAAAGTATTTCAGAATTGAAATGTACTTCTATCTCAGTATGAATGCTCCTTTTCCATTAATATAATGCTGTATTGCTTTGCCTTTCTGTCTCAGGCTGAATGAGAACATGAATGTTTGTGTGGCTGACTTCGGCCTCTCCAAGAAGATCTACAATGGAGACTACTACAGGCAGGGGCGGATTTCCAAAATGCCTGTCAAATGGATTGCCATTGAAAGCTTGGCCGACCGTGTATACACCACAAAAAGTGATGTGGTGAGTCCACCTACTGTGCGTCAGTGTGTGTGTGTGCACGTCTTTCTGTGCTTGTGTGGACAAACTGTACTGCGAAACCATCGTTGTGAGGATATCTCTGACCCTTCAGGCTTTGAAGCTTTGCGGAGGGTGACAGCATCAAGTGGAAGGACTGTATTTAGCTGTATTTTGGCACAACTTCAAGAGTTTACAACTGACTGAGCATATGGATAAAACCTGGAGAAGTAGACAATGCTATTTTTATGAATGTTTACTTTTCACTTAATGGAGTCGTTCTCTGCTAAATAATATCTGTGATAGATATGAACAGTCCTGTAACAGCTGATAATACTACTGTATGTTTCAGGGGTCCTGGATTCCATGCACACATGAAAGCATGCTCATGTAAATGTGCATACTTTAGCATCTTGTTAAAAATGGCTGTTATGTCCATAGCCAGTGTGTTTGACAAGTGCAGATTCATGTCAAGTGTGTGGCAAGGTGTGTTAACAGCTAAATGAATTCAGACCTCTTCAACCCTTCCCCTTTCTCACTCCACTCTCTCTCTCTCTTTGTCTCTCTGTCAGTGGTCGTTTGGAGTCACCATGTGGGAAATCGCCACACGCGGCCAGACCCCGTACCCTGGGGTCGAAAACAGTGAGATTTATGATTACTTAAGACAGGGAAACCGTCTCAAACAGCCTCCAGACTGTCTGGACTGCATGTGAGTGTCGCCACATTCCTTACAAACACACTCGGCTGATGAGGAAGTACTTTTGAAATATTTCCCTTCCTGATTAAAATCACTTTTCTTAAACTTATCAAGGCTAGAGGCTAACAGTCCATCCATCCATCCATTTTCCTCCGCTTATCCGGGACCGGGTCGCGGGAGCAGCAGTCTAAGCAAGGATGCCTAGACTTCCCTCTCTCCAAACACTTCCTCCAGCTCCTCCGGGGGAATGCCAAGGCGTTCCCAGGCCAGCCGAGAGACATAGTCCCTA